CCCAAGGAAATCGTTTGCGACCGCGACACTTGGTTCATGTCCGACTTTTGGTTGGCGCTCATCAAGCGATGGGGCTCTTCCCTCAAGCCAAGTTCAGCTCGCCACCCCCAAACCGATGGCCAAACGGAGAGGGCACATCAGACCGCACAGGTCCTCCTTCGCACTCTCATTCGTCCCGACCAAAAGGATTGGGTCGAGCGGCTGCCGGATGTTGAGTTGGCTTACAACTCGTCTATCCATCCGGCTATCGGGATGTCACCGTTCGAGCTTGAGCATGGCTCGCCGGTCAACTCTCCGATGGACACAATCATGCCACGGACGACCGAGAGCGACGACCACCTTCTCTTCATTCATCGGATGCAAGAGCTTCTTGTCAAGGCACGCGATCAGATGTCGAAGACGCAGCAACGTATGCGCCAACAGGCCAACCGCCAGCGTCTTCCTTGTCCATTCCGTGTCGGCGACCTCGTATGCGTTTCCACTGCGGAATTCAGCCTCGAGCAAGATATCCCTCGCAAGCTCCTTCCGAAATGGATGGGGCCCTGGCCGATCTTGGCACCTGCCGGCGACGCACCCGAAGGCCCTTCGTTTATCATTCGGGTGCCCGAACACTTGCCCGTCAACCCGGTCTTTCACTGTTCAAAGTTGGCTCCCTACACGCGCCGAACTTGACGACTTCCCCGGACGACGATCGCAAGACCCGCCCTCAATGGACGGCTTCCAAGAGATCGGCAACATCATATCCCACCGACGACATGGCAACAAACCGACCGAATTCTTGGTTCACTTTCCATATTGCACGCATAGAGCTGACCGATGGCTGACTTGTGCGGAACTTCAGGCAACAGCGCCCGATGCTCTCGCACGCTATGAGCAGAAACTGAAAGGCAAGCCGGCACCTTCGGCTCCCCGACGCACACGCGTCCAAGTACCGCCTTCGGATCGACAGCTTCGCCCCCGACCGGCTTGACTTCATAAGGACGGGGGGGTGTTACATGCTGAGCCTGACACACGGGCCCATTTTCGGGCCCGACGGTTGTTGAGGGCCCCTAGGCCGCGCGCCTGTTCCAAGCACGCGACCTGGAGGCCCACGGCCATTGGACAGGCCGTAGGTACAGATTTGAGGCAGCAGTCATTCATTTATTTATTTATTTATTTATTTACTTATGTGTGCTGCTGTTTGCCAGTTCTATTTTTGTCTGTTTCAGGTGACGTTTCGGACTTGCAGTTCGTCCGAACAGATCTATGATCTGTTCGGACCAAGGCCACGTTTTTGGCCTCCTCCATTCGTGGCCAGGCCCTTTTAGGCAAGGTTCGCTTTTGTCTGGTAGCAGACACTCCCTGCTGCATCAGCAGGGAAGGCCTGGACGTCCGATAGGGACCCAGGCAGGCCGTTTTTAGGCCAGACCCAGGGACAGGACTTTTCCTTGCGACCTGGACCATGGATCGGACCTACGATCTCACAGCCCAGATCGCAGGTCGAGGGTACAGCACCACGGCCCAGCACTACTTATAGCTGGGCCAGCTCCTGGGCAAGGACAGTTCGAGTAGCTCATTCTGAGCGACACGCTGCTGGTTGGAGGCTGCGCTAAGTAGAGGAGTAGGGAGTAGAGTTAGGCAAGGTAGAGAGTGGCGGAGGCCATACCTGCAGTCGGCGAGCTTACCTGGCGCCATAGCTGGGCTCCACGCGGTACCTGCACACAGCAACAGACGAGGTCAGTTCAAGTGGCAGCTACCTGCAGGTGAGATAGCAAGGAGGACTTCATCCTCCTCTCTCTCTCTCTCTCTCTCTCTCTCTCTCTCTCTCTCTCTCTCTCTTCTCCCTCCTCCCTCTTCCTTCTTCTTCTTCTATGAGAGTGTAAGAGGTTATCAGTAGGGATTCAGGTAGAGGTTGTAACGGGCATATTGCCCACGATCTGATTCGACATTTCTGGGACCGACATTGTTGGGACATTCGGCAAGAGACTATTTTGGACTTCGCCATTGCGATCTGGGTCTACTCTCTCGCCTCCCATCACCTTCGTCTCATCCCCCATCTCTCATCCGTGGTATCTCCCCCATGTTGCGTATGAAGGAGGGACCTTTCTTCCGTGTTTGCGGTCCCTCCTCTTATCTCACATGTGAGATGTCCGATGGATGTCGGGTCAGTCCAGGTCAGATCAGATCTTATCTTTGAGTCTTCCGCTGCGCCACATTGTGCCATTTGTATGTATCGAGGTGTACATTGCTTGTTGATGCTATGATGACGTTGCTTTGTTCACTTCAGTCCTTTTCATCACATTGCAGATCCTTGGTCTACTGCGCATTGCTCCCCTGCGCATGCGTCCTGTGCCTCAAAACCATATCAGCTGGCCACACACTGGCGGCAATCCATCAATCTTTTTTTTTTTCTGGGGTGCGCCAATCTGTCAGCTTTGTAATGTTCCAACAATCAAGGATTCTGCACAGATGCAGCCCTCTGCAGAAAAATGTACAGTTACAGAAGTCGGAAACCTGCGAGGATCAAGATGGAAAAACAGAACAAAGGAGTAGCATTTCGAAATAAACACGTCAGTGACGAACATACAAGGGCATTATCATCCTGTTCAGGGGCTCGACGGAGGGGAAGAGGCCGTCAGTATGAGGAAACACATTTTCGGACGAAGGGATGAGGAAGAGTGAAACGGTATTCACCAGTTAGCAGTAACTGGTGCAGATCCCAGGGTTTGATCCCTAGATCCCAACCTTACCTGTGTATAGTATCAGTATCGATCCTTAGAGTTGAACCCGTGACCTGTGTATTTGTAACTGTTGGTAGGCGTCGTAGGGTCCAGAGGTCGCAGGGTTTCGATCTGTAGACCTGTCGAGTAGGAGTCCTAGTCAGGTCTAGAAGTCGTAGCTGAAGCTTTCTCGGAAGGTCAGGGCTGTAGCTGCTACAGTCCAGAAGGGTCAAAGTCGTAGCTGCTACAGTCACGAAAGGCCAAGTTCACGGCCTTCCGGAAGGTCCCAGTAATGGCCTTTCAGAGTTCCCACTGTTAGGCTGAGGCAAGTGGGCAAGTGGCGAGGCAAGTGGTGGAGTCTACCCGCGCTGAGTCAGCAGTCCCAGTCCAAGGCAGTCCTGGTCCAGTCAAGCAAGTACCGCATGGGACTGTGTGCACGTCGGGCGTGGGAAAGGGCCAGACCAACGAGCTGCAGAAGTATTCCTGCGTGCGCCATGCGAAAGCGCTGCCACAGCGACTTGTGCAAGGAGGTCTGCAGTGAAGCCCGAAGACGAAGTGGGCAGAGAGACGAAGCGTAGCCATAGCGATAGGGTAGCAGCGGCCATAGCCGCCCTAGCTGTTGTTAGTGTTCAGTGTGTGTGTGTGTGAGTGTTCAGAGAGACGCGTGTGGGATATCCAGGGTGATCCACTGTATGTGAACAGAGAGTTGTTTGAGCGCTATATCGCCATAACCATTGGAAGTGAACTCGTATCTGGGTTGCCATATCTCTGAGTACTGAGTGGGCGCAGGTCGCCAGTCTGTTGCGCTACTGTTTGCATGCATGTAAAGTGTGAATGAAAGCGAGTTTGATTGCAAGAGGGCTTACGGGATTAAGATGAAAGTGGAGCTTACAGGAAGTGCTCTTTCTGTGTGATATAGTATAGACAGATCATAAGCACCCATGTCAATAATGAAGTCCCCGTGCTCACAACAAGAATAAACTTCAGGAACTCCTTTGAGCCCCAGATTGGCTCAAGTAATTTCCCGAGTAGAAGGAGCGCAGGAACATTCACAACCACCTGCACAGTCCAAACATGAAGCAAAATCATGTCAAACACTTTCAGTACCGATTCCTTTCCTCAGGATGGCTTAACACGGTCACTGCCAACATTTCCATAGCTAGACTTCTTCTTCCTCTTCCTCCTCCTCCTCCAACTCCACGACCACCTCATCTCCTCCTCTTCCTCGTGCTGCTTCTCTTCTCTCCTCCTTCCCCTCCTCCTCCCTTTTCAAATCACATTATCGCCATTGTTGATCTTAATTCAGCAAAACTCGGTGTGTCTATTCATAACTCGGATATCAGCACTCAGGAGAACTATGTACAAGAGACAACCACCACATTCCTAATGCACTCTCCATTTCCCAAAATCAGATCACCAAGGCATGTTTGTTCGCCAGGACTGTGAATCACATGCACACAATCCTGGGCCCATTTCAGATTCATCCGTGACAAAGGGAAGTGGTGTCGATGGTGGGGAAGGGGAGATGGTCTTAAAAGTGCAGAAAAAAAAAAGAAAAAAAAAAAGGAGGGGAAAACCACATCATCTCACTGTAGTGCCACCTCACCACATCACAGTAGCAATTCAGATGATGCCAATAGAATGGGACGGATCCGTTCGTTCAAAAAAGGCGCATTTAGTAAGAGTATCAAACCCACACCCTTGACAGAAGGCCATTCCAAGATGCGAACAGAGGCAGGGACATATCAACAATAGCTCCCTAAAATAGGAAGACCGTGTGTGTGTGTGTGTGTGTACGTCACCAAGCCTGTGTGGCTGAATGGTACACCCATGAACTGTTGGTAAACAGACCTGAGTTCAGATCCTGATATCAGACGACTAAAATAACCACGGCAACCGCGGACCCGGACCCGGACACGTCTGGACCGAGGCCCAGACATTTGTCTGGACTGGTTCAGACGTCCGGTAATCCGGACAGGCACCGGACAACCGGACAGGACTGGACCCGGACCGTCCGGACCTGTACACCAGACACAAAAATGTCCGGAACGAAGGGAATAAAAAAAAATAAAAAATAAAAATAGTAATAACTACTAATAAGCACTATTAAGCAGTACTAACCACAGCTTACTGTCTTTCACTATTCACAACTTGACAGCTCAATAGAGTCAATACTGCCACAAACATTCACAAAGGCTCACACAACACTAGAAAGTTCAAACCAGTTCTCAACAGACCAATCCCAAGTCACTTCGGAAAAGAGTACGAAAATCAGAAAGAAACAGTACTTTCAACTTTGAAGTTAGACTTTCTAATTCATATTCATATTCATATTCATATGAAAATTGAAAATTCAAACTGTTAAGTTATTCAGATCTGCGCACGAACAGATCTGAGATCTGGTCAGGACCAGATCTAAGACGGGATGACCAATATCATCTCTCTCTCTCTCTCTCTAGCTTGATGTTCTGTGGCGCTTTGCAGCCAGCGCTTCATTTTCGGAATCGGACTCAGCAGAGGGAGCCGTTGGAGGCGTCTGGCGGCGTCCGGTAGGCCCTGAAATGGCCCAAAAATACCAGGGGCATTTTTTGGGGGCGGCCTAGGACCCGAACCCCCCAAGAAAAAAATTCGAATTTTTCAAAATTGGGCCCAATCCAGACCTACCAGACCAGACACCGGACCGGTACCCAGACAACCGGACCGTCTGGATTCCGGTCCAGACGTCCGGCCGGTTGCCATGAAAATAACTCTGAATCACCAGGAGCCGGTCAGTTCAACGATGATACCTCAAGGCTGTATCCCTGAAAAAAAAGAAGGAAGACTGTGTAGAACAAATGAAGACATACAAAAAAGAGTATTGTGAATTCCTCCCCGCACGCGTGCACCATGCTTCTTTTTTTATTTGTTTTTTGTTTTCTTTTAATGAAGTAAATACTAAATGGCTAGGAAGATTGTCCTGCGCTGCCAGGCACCCGGGCATGTCACCTGGGGGGGTCTGCCGCCCGGTGTAAAAGGGCATGCAAAAAAAAAAAAAAAAAAAAAAAAAAAAAAGCTTTTTGCTTTTCTGCGCTCTCCAAGAGGACCCGAAATCCGGGCTCATTTCTTTTTTTGAGAGTTGGCTGTCAAGGGGGTGGAATAGGGGTAAAGGGGCACAAGGGGTCTAAACCACCACTACCCCCGCCATCCTAAATTAAGGGGGAACGGTAGCACGGGTCCATGAGGGCTACCATTAGCACAGTGGGGGGAACTGGCGGAGTGCCAAAATTGGAAAATGCATCAAATTGCCCCTGTGATTTATTTCGAGGTTAAAATGATTTTTCTAATTTTTAAAAATATTTTTCCTAGAAAGACCACGACGAAATCTGCTGACCCTCCAATTTTCAGACTTCTTAGAGCATTGTATTTAAAGTGAAAAATCGCTGAACTCGGGGTACTTTTCCCGTTGGCGGACATGTGATAGAGCAGCAAAAATGGAATTTGGGATGAATTGGCGCAGTATTTATTTCACGGTCTAAAATATATATATATTTTTTTAAATACTTTTTGTGGTAAGACAACGACCAACTCCACAGGCCCTGCAATTCGCAGAGTTGTCAAGTCATCCTTCTCCGCGCAAAAAATCTCGGAAGTCGGGGTACTTTTCCCGTTGGCGGACATGTGATAGAGCAGCAAAAATGGAATTTGGGATGAATTGGCGCAGTATTTATTTCACGGTCTAAAATATATATATATTTTTTTAAATACTTTTTGTGGTAAGACAACGACCAACTCCACAGGCCCTGCAATTCGCAGAGTTGTCAAGTCATCCTTCTCCGCGCAAAAAATCTCGGAAGTCGGGGTACTTTTCCCGTTGGCCCACACGTGGTCAAGTGGCAAAAGTGGAAAACGGCACGGCAGTTATTTCATGGTCTTTTTTTTTTTTTCCATTTTATGGATATTTTTCCTGGAAAGATCACAATCTACAGAATCTCAATATTTCCGATTTTTTTTTCAATTGCGAGGCCACTGCCTTTATGAGCTCCATTCAGCCCTTTTTTGGGAGCTGTCGGCCGCCCTAAGTGAAGGCAGGCTCGACGAGGCCCCTAAGAGGCCTTATTTCGGCCTCTGCGCAACTCAAGGAAATTCAGGCAGTTGGGCAGCGCCAGTTGGTTGAGAGAACCCATGCCCTGGGCCGCCTGTGTGAATGTATGGAAAGCAGGACCTGGGCTGGATACGGGTACTGGGCCGAACACAGGCCAAAGGCAGTTGGGCGCATGCAACCAACTCAGGCCCGAGGCCTGTTCTCGAACGTGCTGGGCCTCAGGCTGCCAGGGCCTACCGGAAGCTTCCTGGGACTGGACGCAGGCAGGCCACTTCGATATAGCAAAGGGCCTGCCTCATTCGGCATTCGGGTGCTGGCTGCATGCTGCGCAAGCGCTGCAGCGCTATTTGCTGGCTGCCGCCTACGCTCTCACGGGCGATCAGGAAGGAGCGGACAGCCATAGCCGAGCTGCTCCGCTGTGAGCTGGGTGTGGCGCAGGGTGGTCCTTGGGTGCAAGTGGCATCTGTGTGTTGGGGAACGAGGTTGTGAGTGTAGCGAGAGACATACCTGGCGCTGGAAGCGTGCGACATTGGTCGCTGTATGCTCGTACTTCGGAGAAGCTGTTGTCGTCAACTTCGGCATTGTAGTATAGGCTAGATAGGATCTGCCACATGTAGTCTGGGCGCCGAGCGCCAGATAGGATATCAACTCTGAACTCTTGGTGTGTTCTTATTTGGTGAATCTCGTGATGCAATTCTGCTGTTGGTTCGAGGTCAAGACTATCTGGACTCATATGTATGATGCTGTTTGATTGCTGAAGTTCGCTATTGCTCATCTTCCTTGCAATTTGGTATTGGAGCTGTGGTACGTTTGCGCTCATCTGGCGCTTGTCTTCTGCCTTATGCGGTACATACATGCGGTCTGCTTGGCGAGTTTGGCCGTAAGTGGTGTGTAGTGAGGAGGGTGGAGGCAAGTGAGTGGCCACCCAGGAGGTGAGGGGATCGCCAGGAAGGCTACGTGGTGTTAATGTGGTCTGGACAGTGTGATGAGAACTATCTAATGTGCGATTGATGCTGAGGTGGAACGGCGAGATAACGCTGGTTGTGCTGATGCAGTGACTGGTCATTGCAATCGCAATAAGGTCATCTGGTGAGATTATCTCTGTGGTTGGGGGCAGCTATTTGGAGGTACGTTCCTCTTAACCTTATCTACCCTCTCCGACACTTCTTACCGTGAGGTTGTGTGTTCCTTCTTGAGGGTCCTCTCATTGTGAAGTGTCGAGTGCGCTCAACCTTGAGAGTCGGTAATGTTCACGTGGAGCATCTGGGAGAAGATGGGCGGAGCTTTCTGAAGGGCCCTGGACGAAGCACTAGGTCACGGTCACCATGCCAACCCACCGGGAGTAGAGCACGCATGCTTTGCTGCTTGTCCTTTGTTCGGCTTGCTGCGCTGTTAGATGGGTACTGAAGGCCAGGCCAGCCCTATGGGAGACGAGACCGGGCGTCTTTAAATAAGCACCAGAAGGGGAACCATTGGCTGTGATCGCCGTCCGGGTGCGACGTAAAAGAATTCCTGGAGTCACTTGGGGGCGGATGTTAAATTGCCTCTGGATCAGCCAATGGTTGTAAGGCTCGCTGCACGTGAGGATAATCCAGTGCAGGGCTGGCCAGCTCAGCAGATACTCGGGGCACAGGGGTGGGCCGGACACACACCTTTATACACACTCTCCAGATTGCTCAGGGACGCTGACATCAAGTGATACTCAGGGGAACTAAGGGAGGGGTAAATTCCAGGTGATAAGTTCGAGAAAATTCCATGCTGTCCTATCCACACAAATGATTCTATTTTTATGTTTTGATTAGTTAGGTGTACAGCCATTGACATCTGACAGACAGCATTAATTAGAACTGCTTCTTGTTCATGGTGCTTCTGTTTGCGGACTAATCAGGCTAAAGATAGTTTCGTTTCTAGGAATCTTACTTACCTGTTGACCCGAATGTAAAAGTCTCCGCAATAGCCACCAGTAACTGGTCTGTGCACTACGCTGCGGTAGGCACCCAGAGTGCATTAGTGCAGATTGTGTACAGGGCTGTAGCTTATGAGCGACCAGGAGGACACTAGAGAGGACGACCGGATCTTGTGATCGGCAAGGCGCCCACTAGCCCATTTGGCACTAGGACAAGAGGGCGACAGACATCTGTTCCGCCAGCTTACGGAGAGGCAGCAGCAGCAGAGGAGGGCTAGAGCAGCAGAGGCTAGCAGGGCACTTGTGAGTGAAGCCGCAGCTTCAGAAGCCATGGCCACCTCAGCACAGCAGTCTACTCAGGCCGGTAGTTCAGGGTCTGTTGGGTCAACAGTTGCACAGACCCAGAGTCAGTCCACTAGTGTAATGGCGAGCCAGGCAATAGTGTTGACCTCGGATGAGATCGCCATACAACAAGCAGCATTGCAGGAGGCACAGCTACAGAGGGCGTTAGGAGATATAAAAAAGGGGGAAAGAAAGAATGATTAGAAGAAGAGCCAGGATGCAACGTAGACAAGCGGACGTTAGTGAGTTCGAGGAGATGGACTTGACGCACGTGACTGATGACGTGAGGATCGTACGGTCCGTCCTGCTGGATGTAGTGGAGATGCAAGACCATCAGACAGCCATCCTCCAGGATATCCAGCAAAGTCTGGCCCTGTTGGTTGGGAAAGCGCAGGTAACGTCGCCAATGTCCGGGCCTGGTGCCTGGCTCGTTGTACATCCTCCTCCTTTTGTCCCACCGGTGACTGGGGTATCCCCATATATAGCCCCATCATCGGTTGCGATCGTTTCCCTGGGCATGCAGCTATCAGGAGGGATCACAGCAGGATCTACTTTCCAGGTTCCGGTACAGACAGTGTACACCCAATCTCCATTGCAGGTTGCAGTCACCACGCAGCCTGCAGTCCCGCAGCCAGTACAGCCGGAGGGCACACAGCCCCAGCAGTTAGTACAGCAGCCTGTTTCACAAGGTCCACAGCCCGGAGTGATGCAGGGACTGGGATAAACACAGTGGGTTCGAAAGACGGCCATCGCCGCTCCGAAACCCTTCACAGCGGATAAGAGAGGTGAAGACCTCGACACGTGGTTGAGGGCAGTGTTAGTCTATGTTAAGTGTAAACTTACCTTGTCGCATGAAGAAGTGCTTGTGGCTGCCTCCTACCTAGACGGTAGTGCAACAAGATGGTTGAGCGGTTTAGTGCAGCTCCAGGGGTATGGTCATGACTTCCGCGCTTGGGCGGTCACTCAAAAATAGGATGACTTCCTTAAGCTGGTGGAGGAAAGGTGGCATGATTCTCAGGAGGGCGAAAGGGCCACTGACGCGATCCTGACACTGCACACGCGGCAGTTTAAGTCAGTAAGGGAACCCACCGACGCTGTTGAGCGTCTGATCTGTGTCCCAGGGGCGCGCTATGACCCCCAAGTTTTACTTACCTCGTACCTGAGATGCTTCTCTTTGCCTCTCAGGAACCAGTTGGCAAGTCAGGCCAACATCAATATGCACAACTTTCCTTCATTTAGCAAGATGGCCCTAGACCTTGAGGCGAATATGGGGCATGGACAGGCACCCACTACGGATGGTAGGAAGAAGACACTGCCTCCCAAGTGGAAGGCGAAGGGCCGCTTAACGTTTGTCGATAACGATGGTTCTACTATCGTGCTAGACGACAACTTCTAGGAGGGAGTAGGTTCAGGGGGTGGAGTAGTCGCTGCTGTAACTCAGAAAGGTAAGGCGACCGGTAGACGTCGTGGGAGAAAGCGGGCCTTACAAAGGACATGTGGAGAGATCGTTATTCACGGCAGGCCTGTATTCGTTGTGGCCAATATGGCCATAACCAGTTCAAGTGTCGCAATAAGAAGGTAACCAATAAGATCCCGCCTACGATGGGGCAGGTGTTGGGATCCTCCCATCCCGTTGGTACCAACGTGGCTAGTTCTTCTCGCAGTGCTCCGGAAAACACGTCGGGCCAGTAGGAATAATAGTTGTTCCTGCAAGGGTCGAGGTGGTGGAGACACCCTCACCATCTCGCGAGATGGCCCAAGCTACTGACTCCAGTGTCGTCCCGCAAACACGTTCAGACCCATCGAGCCTCGGTTATGATGAATGTGCTTGATTCCTTAGAGGAGCTAGAGGTGGAGTGGTCTAGATCAGACCCGCTAGCTTCTTGGACGACCCTAGTCAAAGCCCCTAAGGGTGAGATGTTCGTCAGCGAGGTTGTCATTGACGGCCGCAATGCCGGAGCCTATTATGACACTTGCTCAACTAGGAACTTGATCAGTCGCGCGTGAGTTGAGAGACTACGCTTACAGGGGCGAGTGCATCGCCTGAGTCAACCTGTGGAATCGACCTGTGCCAACAAAGAGCGCACGGTAGTCAACGACTACCTCCAGGATGTAGAGTGTTGTTTCCCGTACGCGGGAGGGGAATTGAGACATCGCGTCTCGTTCCTAGTGAGTGACGAGCTCCCCATGGATATGTTGTTAGGTATGTACTACCTCTCTGTGGCACAGCCCCAATTTGACTGGGACCGAAAAGTGGTCAAACACACTTTGCCAGGTGGAGGGATTACCAGATTGCACAAGTTCAAAGCTAGTAGTCTGATCGAGTCCCATGGATGCAAGTGTGCAGCCGCGTTCTATAACTATTATAAGCAAAATGAGGAGGAGGGTATGTACTTAGTTTATGTCTCTGTTGCATGCGAGCCGATGAAAATGCCGCCGAAGATACAGGGAATAGTTGCCAAGTACCCTAATCTATTTGAAGAGCCGACAGGGGTTGTAGAGAGGGAGGTCGTCCACACGATAGCGATTATCCCAGGGTCTAGCATCCCAAAGGGTAGGATCTATCGGATGTCTCTAGGCGAGCTCGATGAGCTTCGCCGACATCTCAAGGAACTCGTAGAGAAGGGTTGGATCCGGTCGAGTGTCTCTCCTTATGGATCTCCAGTACTATTCATACCTAAGAAGAACGAGGGTACACTTAGGATGTGCATTGACTATAGGGGCCTCAATGCCATCAATGTAAAGAACAAAGAGCCCCTACCACGCATCGACGATTTGCTTGATAGAGTGCAAGGGTGTCGGTACTTCACTAAGATAGATCTGAAGTCCAGGTACCATCAGATTGCAATCCTGCCCGAGGATCAACACAAAACCGCATTTCAAACCAGGTACGGTCTGTACGAGTTTGTGGTGATGCCTTTCGGCCTTGCTAATGCTCCTGGCACTTTTCAGCACGCTATGAATCGGATATTCCATGACTACTTGGATAAGTTTGTCATCGTGTACCTCGATGACATACTTATTTTTAGTAAGACTGTCGAGGAGCACGTTGCACATTCAGACAAAATCCTCAGTCTCCTACGACAACACAAGTTCAAGATCAACGGTGAGAAGTGCGAGTTTGGCCGCACCCGTGTCTTGTACTTGAGTCATGAGATATCCGCGGAAGGGTTGAAGCCCGATGACGCGAAGGTGGCCAGCATTCGTGATTGGCCGCGTCCTCAGTCTGTGACTGAGATGAGATCATTCTTAGGGATGACCGGCTACTATCGCAACTTTGTGGAGAACTATAGCATAGTTGCCACCCCTTTGACTGATCTGACCCGCCTTGACACCCCATGGGAGTGGACTGAGAGATGCGAGGCTGCTTTCAGACATCTGAAGCATGCGTTGACGCATTACGAAGTCTTAAAACTTCATGATCCTGACAAGGCCTTTATAGTGACTACGAATGCTAGCCAATATGGCACAGGCGTCGTGCTTGCACAACAGGAGGGGAAAAAGTTTTGGCCTGTAGAGTACATGTCCAAAAAGATGCCCTCTCAGAAGTTGGCTAAGTCCAGCTATGAGAAGGAACTCTATGCGGTTAAGGCTCTGACCCATTGGAGACATTATCACCTTGGGAGGTTCTTCATCCTCAGGACTGATCATCAGACTCTGAGATGGATGAGAACTCAGCCTATACTCTCTAACGCCCTCAAGCGTTGGATCGAAGTCATAGAGCAGTATGACTCCGAGCCCCAGTACATCAAGGGCGAGTACAACAATTTTGCTGATGCCTTGTCGCGTAGGCCTGCTTTCTCAGGTACGCTGATTACTGAGTTTGGGCTTGAGGACAGTGTTACTCAGTCTTTGGCGGAAGCCTATCGCGAGGACCAGTTCATGTTTGAGATCATACGCAGACTTCAGGCGAAGGACAAGAAGACCTCTGCCAAGTTTGAATTGGTCAATGGCTTGTTGTTCCTTGAGAAGGCAGGGAATAAACGATTGTGTGTCCCTAATAGCGAGTCTTTGCGTAGTTTATTTTTAGGTGATGTCATGATGCCACCGACCATTTTGGATACAAAAAGACCGCAGCTAATCTACTGCAGCGGTTTTGGTGGCCCACGATGATGCGAGATGCCCAGCTGTACGTGGAGACTTGTCAAGTCTGTCAGAGGGACAAGCCTCGTACGCAGGCTCCTCTTGGGCTTCTGAAGCCCCTTCCGATTCCGGAATGGCCTGGCGAGAGTTTGTCCATGGACTTCATGGATACTCTAGTCACCAGCAAGAGTGGGATGCGACACATTTTCGTCATCGTGGATAGATTTAGTAAGTACTCTAGGTTAGTAGCAATGCTGGAAACAGTAAGAACGAAGTATGTGATCCGAATGTTCAAAGAGAACTGGGTTAGAGACTTTGGTTTACCGAAGTCTATTATTAGTGACAAAGATGTCCGATTTGCCAGCAAACTGTGGAAGGCCGCTGTTGCAGAGCAGGGAACCCACTTGCAAATGACTTATGGGAACCACCCAGAGGCCAACGGCCAGGCCGAGCAACTGAACCGCGTTGTACAACATCTGTTGAGGCATTACATCAAGCCCGACCAGGTGGACTGGGATGAGAAGCTTGCTCTCATCGCCAGTTTGTACGACAATGCGGTACACAGCGCCACCGGGGTGAGTCCGACCAGTTTGCTATTGACTTTCAAACCTAGACTACCCTTAGACTTTCTCCTCCCTAAGAATGAGTCAACTTCTGCACCAGGTACTCTGGAATTTGCAAACCGTTATGAACAAAAGATGCAGGATGTTGTAGAACAAATGCAAAAGGCACAGGCGGCTATGATAGAATCTGCGAACAAACACCGTCGTGAGTCTTCATTTCAGGTTGGGGATAGAGTCTAGGTTAAGTCCTCAGAACTGGGACAGGAGCACGGGATCTCCTACAAGCTCATGCCACCGTACTTTGGACCATGGGATGTCTTAGATATTGTTGGGACTGATCCGCACGGACCTTCTTACATAATCTGGATCCCTGGTCATCTCCGCACTTACCCTGTCTTTCACGGCTCCAAGCTTGCACCTTTCAAGGAAACAAATCAGTTTCCATCTCGTCGTTCAATGTTGCCCTTAACCATGGATGGAGAGGTCATTATCGACGATATTGTTGATCACCGGGAGCTGCCAGTTCCAAGAACAACAGGCAGAGGACGTCCTCCGAAACCGAAGCTGCAGTACTGCGTTCGGTTCCGACATCATACTCCGAAGGAGGACCGATGGTTTACCAGGGATGAACTCATGCAGACCGCTCCGCAAGTGGTAGCCCACTATGAGAAATCTCTGCAGAAGGGAAAGCGCCCGATGGTCGAAGACTGAGCTTCTCAGAGAACTGTTGAAGCTAAGGAGAAGGGAGTGTGAGGCCACTGCCTCTATGAGCCCCATTCAGCCCCTTTTTGGGAGCCTGTTGGCCGCCCTAAGTGAAGGCAGGCTCGACGAGGCCCATCAGGGCCTTATTCTGCCTCTTCGCAACTAAAGGAAATTCAAGCAGTTGCGCAGCGCCACTTAGTTGAGCGAACCCATGCCCCGGGCCACCTGTGTGAATGTATGAAAAGCAGGCCCTGGGCTGGATACGGGTACTGGGCCGAACACAGGCCAAAGGCAGTTGGGCGCATGCAACCAACTCAGGCCCAAGGCCTGTTCTCGAACGTGCTGGGCCTCAGGCTGTCTGGGTCTACCGGAAGCTTCCTGGGACTGGACGCAGGCAGGCCACTTCGATATAGCAAAGGGCCTGCCTCCTCAATCAGCATTCGTGTGCTGGCTGCATGCTGCGCAAGCGCTGCTGCGATATTTGCTGGCTGGCGCCTACGCTCTCACGGGCAAGTAGGAAGGAGCGGGCAGCCATAGCCGAACTGCTTCGTTGTGAGCTGGGTGTGGCGCAGGGTGGTCCTTGGGTGCAAGTGGCATCTGTGTGTTGGGGAACGAGGTTGTGAGTGTAGCGAGAGACAGGATCTGCCACTAGTCAGGGCGCCGAGCGCCAGATAGGATATCAACTCTGGTTCTTCGTTGATGATGATGGGTCCATTTCAGCATTGTCAATTATGAACTCTTGGTGTGTTCTTATTTGGTGAATCTCGTGATGCAATTCTACTGTTGGTTCCAGGTCAAGACTAGCTGGACTCATATGTATGATGTTATTTGATTGCTGAAGTTCGTTGTTGCTCATCTTCCTTGCATAATTCTTCTGAGCGCGAAAAATCGCCCAAGTTGGCACTTGAAAATCCTTGGACCGGGCCAGCCAGCACCTGTCGGTCGCTGTCCCCCCTAAGAACCCGATCCGTAAGGCCAGGAAAGCGAATTTAGGTCGGTGGGGGTAGTGGTGGTTTAAAGGGTGGTGCCTTAGTGTGATTCTGGTATTTTCATGTTTACCTCCGATTCTCTGAAGAATTCTGATGTGACGCTCAGCCAAAAGTCGTTTGTATTGCAATTCCACACAACATGTTTTTTTCCTGGAATTATTTATTTATTTATTTATTTATTGCGTTGGGGCTGCTTGCATAGCCGATTGAGAATGTTATCAATCTTAAAAATGAATCCGGTCCGACAATCTTCATCGTTCAGCTTTTTGGTTAGATGTGATGTAGGTCACGAGCAGCTAAGACGCTTTCGAAGCCGAAGAAGGAGGAGGTGGAGGTTGGCAGAGAGAGAACATGACATGTCGGGGGGGAGGGGGGGGAATAGGGTTGGTAAGGAATTATGTGGATAGTCCGCAGTTTCTCTTAGATGGTCGAGGTGCTATTTCCCTTTTGATTATAAACATTAAAATCCCTACTGAGCTTTTGCTTTTCTGTCAAAAAACATGATCTGGATTTTTTTGAGGATGATGCATTCTGATGCTGGTGTGATCTGGGAATTCTTTCTGGGGTTGTTTTTGCATGATTTCGTTGCTATGATTGTGATGATTCATGGTGATCGTAGGTGGTTTCCGGATGCATTTGATCCCTAATCTGAAATTCGTTTTTTACCCTAATCTGAAATTCGTTTTTTACCCTAATCTGAAATTCGTTTTTCTGATTCTGAGCGAGATCCCTAATCTGAAATTCGCATTTTCTGAGCAGAGTTTTTAATCTTAGATTTGTATTGTCTGAGGAAGATTCCTAATTTGAAATTCGTAATCAAAGTTCTTTTGCTCTAATCCTAATGAATGATTACTCAATTTTGGATTACAAAGGGTTTCAAATTGATTTTCTTAACGTGGAATTGACGTTCTATGTTTATCCATCCTTGATCAAATTCAAAATCTGGCGTAGATCTCCATATTTGTGTGCATAAGTTTGGGATCCTTTTTTAATTCCATATTTGATGTCATCATGTCTGACTCCTTAATTTTCTATACCAAGTAATTTTCTAAGTTCAGATCAAATTTGTACTTAGCTGTCGGTAAGGAAAAATCCAAAAATTCTGAATATCACAACCAAAGAAAATGACGAACAATCACACCCAAAAAAGGTACAAAAACAAAGCCTCAATAAAACTGTGGAGAAGCCCGAGTACTTCTGCAAATGTGCTATGTCCTGTTGTAGTGAACGAGTTCACCATCACCTGCATTTGTTTGTCAGAGTTGAGCCATGGAGGTGCACGTTGTCAGAACGTGTGGTTCCAGAATCGAGTTCGGCCCCTGAGAGACGATATATGACTAAAGTGTGCACGACAGAGGAATCCCCCTGAGGGACGATATATGACTAAAGCGTGCACGACAGAGGAATCCGGAATGTGGAAGCAAGAGAAACAAAAAGGATGAAGTGTTAAGGCAGGAATGCCGACACCTGGGGCTCAAGAGGATGCTCCATGCCGCCGGAGCCATTGGGCCAAGAACAAACCTATGGAGTGGTGAGCCGCAAAGTGCTGCAGGAAATTAGTAAACGCAGCTCACTTCTCAAAGGAGGACCGCCGAGAAAATAGTACCCTAAGGACAAGCACCACAGAAGGAGGTCAAGGAAAATAATGCCGTAACACCGGCACATAAGATTCATCGTATAGTTTATTTAAACGATATCTTAGTTTTCAGTAGGACCCTCCAAGAGCATCAGGGTCATTTGAGGCAGGTCTTGGAGAAGTTAAGAGAGGCTAACTTCAAGATCAATGCGAACAAGTGTGAGTGGGCCAAGACACAAGTCCTGTACTTGGGCCACGTTTGAGACGCAGATGGGATTAGACCTGAGGATAGCAAGGTAGCGGCAATTAGAGATTGGCCGACGCCCCGCACGATGACAGAATTGCGGTCATTCTTAGGCCTAGCTTATTATTATAGGAAGTTCGTAAGGAAGTTCGTAAGGAACTTCTCCGCCAGCGCCGCTCCCCTTCGCCGGTTGCTGAAAAAAGAAGCAACCTAGAAGTGGGACAAAGATTGTACATCCGCTCTGAAGAAGTTAAAGCGGGCGTGGATAGAGTACCCTGTCCTCAAGGTAGCAGATCCGTCCTTGCCATTTGTCGTCACCACGGATGCAAGTCAGTATGGTATAGGCGCCGTGTTGCAGCAGGATGACGAAAATGGCTATAGACCCGTAGAGTTCATGTCAGCGCGGATGCCCTCTGAGAAAGTAGCTACCTCGACATACGAGAGAACTCTACGCTCTCAGGCAGGCCTTAGAGAATTGGAAGCATTATCTGCTTGGGAGGCACTTTAAGGTTTATTCACACCACGAGACTCTTAGGTGGCTGAAAACGCAGGACAAGATGACACCTAAGCTAACTAGGTGGGCCGCTGACATAGATCAATATGACTTTGAGCTCAAACCAGTCAAAGGCAAGTATAATGTAGTTACGGATGCTCTAAGTAGGAGGTCAAACTACTTTGGAGCTATAGTTCACTATCTGGATATAGGGAGAGACCTGCAAGAGAAAGTAAGACAGGCATATGCGCACGACCCTATTTATAGTGACCTCCTCAAGAGAGTGAAGGAGGCCCCAGAGACTGAACCACATTACCGCACTACAAAGGGATTACTGTTCGAGAAGACCAATGTAGTAGACCGTCTATGCGTTCCTAATAGTGAGGAGATTCCTAGTTTGATCCTAGGGGAATGCCATGACACAAACGGACATTTCGGTTGGCAAAAGACCTTAGCCAATTTGATGCATGCGTATACCTGGCCAGGAATGAAAGCTGACTGCCTAGAGTACATTCGCAGTTGCAAAGTCTGTCAAGGGAATAAGACAACTACGCGTGCCCCTCTAGGTCTTCTTCGACCCTTGCCTATCCCGGACCAACCTGGAATTCAATCTCCATTGACTTCATGGATGCTTGTGTTAAAAGCAGACATGGAAACAGCCAATTCATGGTAATAGTAGATCGATTTAGCAAATACTAGATGACCCATTGCGGCTTCGCCCGCAAAGACAGAAAACTAAAAAGCACAAAAGAAAGAAAAAGCATAAGGAACTGCCTAGTCATATGCCGCTTCTTTCGCAAAAACAAAAATAAGAGTCTGAGAGCAGACAAAAATCCGCGTGCAAGAAATAGAAGGAAATACCACCGAACCTTTTTTGATTCTTTATCTGCGAGTGTTTTGTTTGGGAAGCCGATACCTTTGCAACATCGTTTTTTTTTGTGTTGTGCAAGAATTGTGAACTTTTATGAGAAAATCTTGTCCGTTGTCCCGTTGACGTTTTTGCTAAAGATTCCGATTCGGACTTTTGTTTGCTATTTTCTCTGAATATGTTTGTGATAAAGCGACCTTGCATGTATGCCCCATGCTTACTTGCCGAGTTTTGACTCTATGTGTGCAAGTGGATGCGCGTGCGGGTGAGTCTAAGTTTGGTGGGCTCCGATGATGTCATTGATGATTGGCCCGGGGAAGTTGGAAGTCGCCTCGAAGTATAGGAGTGCCACTGATGTGAAGCAGGTTTTGCATTGAATGAATGAAACAATCAGCATTCAATCTTCTTGGCAGTTGCTCTTCGCGTGGGGGACTTGTCAGGACTAGCGTTGACATGCGAGCCATAATGTCGGGCGTTCATTTTGCAACATTTCTTGGAAAGCAAAAGGCAAAGAAGAAACGAAGTAGCACGTGCCCCCCCCCTTCTCTCTCTCTCTCTCTCTCTCTCTCTCTCTCT